GTGACAAACGTGGCAGCAAAGCCCAAGAGCCAAAGAAAGGAAGGGGAGCTGAATTCCCCTGGAATTCCTGCAATGAGCTGAGGTGTAAATACAAGTGTGAGATGGCTCATGTGGCACTGAGCCTTCCATGATCTTCATTTCTATCTGCTGTAATTAACAATAAATCATTCGGGGGCTCACAGCACCTGTTATTACATAAATAAAACAGCAGCAAAGGAGCCTGTCAGCACTGATTTATGTGAAGTGCTACTCCCAGGTTTATTGGATTCCCATAATACGGAATCACACCACACCATTTGCTTTTACATTCATCTTCKGGGTTGCATATGATAATTTCTAAACAAAGACACAACTTAGTGCAGGTTAAGAGGCTCACAAATCATTTAGCAGCTAAATCTGATCCCTTTGAAAACTGAAAGATAAAAAAGATGCCATTGAGGCAGGACAACAAGTGACCTATCTAAACTGTTTAAAGTCAGGAAAACAGGGTCCCAGAAATAAGTCAAAGTTTCTTAAAATATCCCTGACAGAGCCATTATTTATAAGGAAACTCTTTTCTAGAAAAATTCAAAGTGGACAAGGAAAGCATTTTCTAAAACAGACATGCACTGGAAACACAAAGAGAAAAGAAACCAAAAGAACAAAACCAAAATATTTTGGGACTAATCTAATTTCAGAAATGAGAACTCCACAAGTGCAACTGCAGATTCCTCGGGCTGCCAAGCGATTAAAGGCAGTAATTAAAGCTGATAGAGAAGCAGTGAAGTTAAATGGATTTTCTGCATTAGGCTTTTATTATAGATAAGGGGAAAGAAATTCCAATTGCAAAACCTCTTTCATGATTATTGACCTTAACAGAAATTGGAGTTTGTGGGAAGGATGTTGGGAACAGCTCTGACAATTGCAGAGTGCTGAGACAGAGTCAGAGCTCCAGCAGCACAGGGAACAGCTTAACTCAGAGAAAACTCAGCCTGGCTGGGCTGAACAGGGCCTAAGGGCTGGCTTAGGGGCAGCTCAGCAAATCCCAGTTCCTGCTGGTGGCCCTGAGCTGAGCAGACCCCAAAACAAACACAGATTGGGATCACCACCCCGAGCTCAGCCCTCAATTCTGAGATTTGAGATTTGAGAATTGAAAGGAAGCTGCTGCCAAAGATGTGACCCCAAAATGGTGACCCCAAAATGGGGTTCAGCTGTCACCAATT